TTTTAAACTTTATTTCTTCTCTTTTAACCATTCTAAACAAACAACAGCTCCCAATCAACAGGATCAGGAATACTTGAATAAAACATGGCCTAAATATAGCCCACTGTAAACTGAGCATTGAACGTCTTGAAAGTCCATTCGACTATGGATATGGGGAATGATTTCATATCTGAAACAAAAAACACACACAAATAAAAACTAATTTCATATTTTATCACTAAATAGCTTAACACAGACATAATATTTAGTAATATGCAGCCTTATTCTAGCGTAGACTTCTTCAGCCACAGGACTACGACGAATAGGCACATAAATAACGCTAAATGCGGCAGTATAGGGGAATTAAAACCATTTCTCACCTCGAAATAGTCAGAAATACGTTTCTGCTGCCTATTGCTAGCCATGCCTAAACGAATGTAAGGTGGCGGAAGCTTCCGGGGGAGTAGCCTAGTTTTTTATGAAATATTAAAATAATGAATCATTAGTTTATATCTTATACACAGCCCATCATTTTAATCCTATATCAAACAGTCTTTTAAAAAATAAATACATAAATAATTTCATGTTTTTAAGTACAATATTATGTTACTCCACAGCCCCCCCACCATGGGGGGCTGATGCTATGACGAGGGAGGCTGCAGCCCCCGCAGCACCCCCCTTCCCGTGCCACTGACCGTAGGTTTCACTTACTTTTCAGTAAATTATATTTTTGAAGTTTGTACTCTGTTTCCATTACAAAGTCTTGGGTTATTTTAGCAGACAGAAGTCCAGAACAAAATGTTTTTAAATACTTAAGATATGTTTCCACTTCAAAAACTGAACCGTTTCTTTGGGAGTTGATGTCATACCCACAAGAAGTAGTACACATTTGTGAATGTACTGATGAATACACAGCTTATAGTTTTACTACCCCCCCCCCCCCCCCCCCCCTTATTTTTTTTCCAATAAAGATTTATTTTATGAAGATACACATTTTGCTTGAATCTTCTGAAGTGCATAGCAGGTTTTATTCCAGGATATAGTAAAAAAATTAAAATAATAAGTGCTTATGTTACCAGCTGTAAATTAAGATCATTTGAGAACAAAATACTATTATATTGGGATATTCAATTTTTTAAATTTGATTATTATGATTATATTCTTTTTTCTTGGTTGTTAAGGAAAAGGCATTTACAAAATGGGTGCTTCGGCCTATTACCTTTCAGATGCGGATTGTAAAAACTTTTTGTAACAGACACATTTTTCTTCATTAAAAGATGTATTTATGTATGGATGTATATAAAATAAAAAGGGAATTCCACCATTCATATGGCTCCATCCATCTTCCCCTCAGTTCTGATCTATCTATGCTAAAGAAAACTATCTCTTCCTCCTATCTGTTATGCCCCAGCAATAGCACACTAGTAAGACCATGACAAGCCAAACTGGTACTATAGTATTACCACCCACTTGGTGCAAGTTCAATGTGCCCTCAACATGTCCTTTGTCTGGGTTCTTCCCTCTGTTTAGGTTTATTTTTAGTTTCTTTGTAATTTTGGTTCTCTGTAGTTGATTTCTGTCAGTTTTGTATTTCTTAAGTGTTACTTTCTGTCTGTTGCCCCCTTGTGCCTGTTCCCTTTCCCTTGGCTCCCTTTAGTTAGCTCTATTCACACCTGCTCCATATCAGCACATTAGCCCATTCTTTGTTCTACTCCCCATATATACCCTACCTATTCTCGTTGCTGGTTTGTTGTTGATTTGTTGCTTCCTCATCTCTTCGCTCCCCTTGTGTGTTTTCCCATGATGTCTCCTGCTTTTTTGGTTTTCAGTGTTTTTGATTTTTGAAATTTGCCTCAGTTGCCTGTGGGAATCTAATTAAATCAGCAAAAATCATCTGTATTTGTCGTCTGTATTTGGTGCTCAAAAACCCTCCATCCAACCTTGACAGCTTTAGACAAAAATCAAGCGTTGCTATTCTTTTGCTCCACTTCCACAAAGCTGCCAGGTTTGTGGAACACATTTGTAAAAATTGAGCAGCTCAAACAGCCTCTTGGCTGCTTCTCTGCCTAGACCCTTCCACCCAGTTTATGTGGGCAGCTTTGACTCAGTAGGTCTTTAGCGGTCCTGAAATTCCAGGCAAAATGTAATCTACCTCAAATGTCCATGAACAGGGACAAAGTCTATGATGGTGAGGCCATGCAATTATTGTGACTTTATTACAGCCAACATGTTGCAGCTCCTGTAACTATTGATGGTCCTGATTTCCTCCCTGGATTTTAAATCATGTTACACCTTCCTCGTTTTTAGATGATGGATTAAACATTTACCGGTAAAGCCTAATCCTGATTAAAACTATTCAACTTCATGATGCTCTTTGTTACCTTAATCTCTCGAACAACAGACAAAAAAAGCTGGACTCTTCTGAGATAACATTACAGGTTGTTTATTGCACGTGATTTCATTTAGGGGAATAAGAAAATGGGGTGACATTTTTTTCAAAGCACTGTATATTCATTTAATCTATACCACTGTAAACATATATTTAAATAGTCAATTTACCCAATAATACGCAGTCATTCTTCATTAACACGAAAGTGTCCAGTCATTGCTTCATCAGACCAGATAATTTTTATTTTCATGGTCTAAGAGTTTTTCAGGAGCCTTATAGCAAACCCTTTTTCCAAACTTTTTTTGTTTTTGAATGAAGGGGGCTACACATTAAGACTTCAAAATGGCTGAAGTGTTTCTGTATCCTTCCCTGTATCCTTCTGTGCATCAAGAAAATCCTATCCCAGAGGACTACAGATATTTCCCTTGACTTCATGCTGAAAGTTTGAGCTAAAACATGCCCTGTGGCATGTTATACATACGGGTGTGTGTCATGGTTTTGGCGCGGTTGGCTGGCTTGATTACTCCTTTCATTCACCTGTCTAGCTCTGCCCTGTTCCTCATCACTCATCAGATCTACCTGTTCCAGTTTCGTATTTAAGCTGTCTGTTTCACAGCCATCAGTGCCAGATTATTTGTTGACCCTTTGGTGTTGAGAGTTCTCCACCGTTAATATAGTGTTCTGATTGTCTGATATGTTTCTGTATTTGGACTTTTGAGCCTGCCTGCCCCTGTCTGATCTGTTTGCCTGGTCTGTCTTTCGACACCTGTCGGACTGTTCTGTGGACTGAACTTGGATCTGCCTCTTGACTTTACCCTGTGGATCATCTTGCCTTCCTTCATCTGCTCGGATCTGATTTCCTGTCAGCTCTGCAGCGTTCAAGGCTTCACCATCTTGAACTCTCTGCTGCGTCTTGCCAGTCGACTAGCTGGATTCACCCTCATTCTCTGGGCACAGACTGAACTGTCAAACCAGGTCAGTGACTCAAGCGCTCATAATAATCCTCCGTCAGATTATCGTATTAACTAACCTGTGTTCCTGCCTCAAACGCCCTAGCTGCTGCAGCCACTGCCACTGCAGAGTCGATCCGTTGTTGTTTGAATAAACACTTCTTGGGTAATTCACTGTGCGTCTTGCCTGAATTCTGGGTCCTACTTTCTGAGCCATTACACTATGTGCCTTTCCTTGTCCAACTACACAAATTTATACAAGTAGACTCAATTTAAGCCTTAGAAAAATCTTAAGGATGATCAGTGGAAACAATATTCACCTCAGATTAATTTAGAGCTTAATTGCACTGGCCGAAGAGAGTTGCATAAATGGGATGTCTTAGTCCTCTATTTGTAATAAATTTGCAATGATCTAAAAAAAAACGTTTTCCACTCAGTGATAATAAGGTATTGCCTTTAAAATTTTGAGGGAACAGATAAATTCAATACCATCAGAAATAAAGCGGAAATATAACTTAATGTGGCCTGGTGAATGTCGTCCTCATAGACTACTCATATGCGCACAGATGAAAGTATTTATTGCTTTGGCCTTGTGTTTGTCCGTTTTTACGGACAGCTGATGCTTTCTGGCATCAACCCATAAAACCCTGCCAAGAAGACCCACATCTTTAATGGCCTTGCTTCCAAAGCAAAATATTCAACAAAAGTTATTTAAAATCATAAAGCCCCTATAAACTGAAGATGATTTACAAAGGACATAAGGTTTGTTTTTTGTTTCTGGTAATATTTCTCTAAGGTGTAAAATAAAATCTTTAAACACTATAAAAAATAAATAATTCAATGAGGCTTGTTACCATACAGTGAAGATTATTTTTCTCTTTTTCCCAGTGAAGCAGTTTAATTTAAAGGTATTTTGAAATTTGCATATTTTTGCTAGATAAAAAATACAATATTTACCAAACTACATAAAGATGACATTTTTGTTTGTTTGGATTAAACTCTTTATAGTTAAATAATGAAAACTTTGATTACAGTAAACTAAACCAGGATATCTTGATTTGAAAGCATTTTTTTTTCCTTTTTCTTCTAATTTAAATCTTTTAATGTGGAGAAATATAAATTATAACCAGATCAGAAAAAAAATTCTTCCCATGAACCAACAACATCATCTATAACATCTTTAACTGACTTTTGATTTCTAAGAGATTATACACAAAGTAATGAAATGAAAAATTTAAATTTTGACCAAAATTAATTTTGGATTATTTGGAGCATCTAATAATATTTCTGTGGGTTTTCATTTGTTATCCTGGAATTTGACATCCTTTGTAAAACAAGTCTTAAACACACAAAAACAAAAAGACTTTTTGCACAAAAAAAGTAAAAAAAAAAAAAAAAAAAAAAAAAAAAAAAAAAAACATAAATAATTTAATGTTTTAAGTGTTCATTTCTGTTGACCGGATATTTACCACAAAGCTAATGCAGACTACTCAGACTATTGCTGTAGAACCAGCTTGTTTAAAGAAACAATCTTTAAAACAAAATGAATGTTTAAATTCCATGTAACCTAACTGCCTCAATACAAACTAATGGCTTTATCTAAAAAAAAATGGTTCTTTATAATGAAACACAACAAATCAGAAAAGGGAGTTTAAGAAAATATTTGTAAGTATTTCACTCACCTGAACAACGAACGGGCATAAAAAGAGAGAAGAGCACGACCACCCCTGTTATCAGCGCATCCATGGCTGTTTCTAGAAGCCAAACTGATCTTTTTCTCAAGCTGCTATGAGCTGCCTCACAGTGCTCTATGATCTCTCTGCTGAGAGGAAGTGGCTGGATGACGACCTGCCAGTGGACTCAGACAGCGTGGTTTAGATTATAAAGCTTTGTTGCAACCTTCAACGCCCACTTCACATCACGCCTGCTCTGCGCTGCTCATCTGATCTGCTTCAGTACTTTTAGACTAAATGAAGCCGCCTTGAGGGTCTCAACTGACATCCTTTCTTTTATAATTTGCATTATTTGCCAAACTAACAGTGTAAATGGTGTAACAATGTCCTACTGCTGTATTTGGCATATAGTCTCAAACTACTTCTGGACACTTCTGAACAAAAACAAAAACTATTTGGTTGCAAGATGGAGTGAATCAACTCCTCATGTTTTCTCTTTACATAAATTTCAATTATACAAAAAGTTCATCCATGTTAAAGAATAAAATAAGTTCTAAAACATAACAGTTGCATGTAGCTCTGTTTTATAAAGGAAAATAAAAGCTATTACATTGTCGCTCAAACAAAGAAAAGAATCGCATTTATTCAATTGAAAGGTAAAAGATGCAATTACAGTCAACAGCTTGTGTTTCATTTAGTTTTAAAAGGCTTTAACAAAAAAAAAAAACAATTGCCAATGGTCCTGTAAGCATTTAAAAAGCACATAAAAGTAAAAAGGAGACCTGCAAGGAGACAAGAAGCACCCGAATGCAATGCTGCTTCAACATATGTAACTCTAAAGGTCAGTACATATGTTTCCTTTAGTTAAATGTTAGTGGGTCTCTATAGGGGAAAGGGGAAACAGACATAAGACTTCTGCATCCTTCCAAAGCCTTTCGGAGGCGGAACAGTCTCACTGATTCGTGCACTTGAGGGAAACTGTTGAACAAGCCGCAGGCAGATTAGTGAGCCTGGCTTTGACTGCACAGCATGGAGAATCAACTTAAGTGCCAGTGTTTGACCCGTTCAAAGACTCTTGAGTTTAACTTTAGAACAGAGCACACTTCCAAGATTTTACATTATTTATCAAACCCAATAGAAAAAGAGAAAACAAAATCCAACAATTTAACAAAAAAGGTATTTGTTGTAAGCACAAGCACTGAGGACTTCCAATTCATTAGTTGGGATTCATTTGGTTTTAGGACTGAGTGTGAGCAATGTTAAATAAAATATAATTATGAAATGAACAGAATGTAATCTATATAATCAAATTTATTTAGCAATTTTAGCAACATTACATTGTAAATAACTTTCAAAACTAGATTGGAGGGGTGTGTGGATGTGTCATTATCAGGTTCAAACACCTAAAACACTGTAAGACAAGGAAAGAAAGGCACAGAGTCAGAATTCTTTTTTACTCGCGAGGAGAGTAGGAAGAGACTGTGCAGTTACAATCTCCAACCCTCTCTGCCGGTCTCAGCTTTCTCCTCACAATTTATTAAAGTCAGGACGTTCCCTAGTTACATAGCTGAGTGCTGCACTAAAGGAAGGGGAAACAAGTTAGACAATCCAATTTGCAGCCTCAGTGAACAGGTCAAAGGTAGAGCATTTAAATATCTTGCGGTCAAATGTTCAAAGAACGGCTGGTTTCGTTAAGCTTGAGCAATACTTCCTGAGAGTTGACCTATACTGCTTGTGCAACACCTCTCTGGAACAGTAATATGTCACACATCATATATCATAAGAACAAGCATTAAATATCTTATACATAATTATTCCAACAGTCATTATCATGTTAAATGTGATTAAACTATTTGAATGGCAGAGGAAAGTCAATTAATCAGATAAAATACTCAGGAGTCACAAAGTCTTAAACTAGCCATAAACTGAAATGTTGGAAATTCAAGGTCCCTTTCCAACATGATGAAAATCCAACATAAGATAAACAAGACAAACGCATTTGATTGAAGAGGTTTCTGGCCTGATGAAACAAACCTTGAGCTATTTTGTCTCAGTGATGAAAACAATGTTTGTAAAAATCAATTCAGTTGTTTCAAATTTAAGAAAGCTGTACTTGTGGTCGAGCATTGTGGTGGTAGCATCATGCCTGGGGTCTGTGTCACTAAAACTTGCAAAATATTTATTGTTCAAAAAGAACAAAATGCTCAGAGATGCAAGCTTATTTAAGAGCTAGAATATTAATCTTCTGGCGACTCCTTTAGCTGTATGATGTATTCTTATGCAGTCACCATTGAAGGCATTGAAAATGGTATAGAGCATTGAAAACTTTCCCAGATATCGATACTGAGTCTGAACTTTTTGTATTATGAGAGCCTTAAACCAATCATAAAGAATCATCACCATTCATCCAATCATCACTTTATTAACCATAACCTGTTGGTACCTAGTTGGAGCCTATTTTGCCTTCAGAACTCCCATAATTCTTTGTGGCATACATTCACAAAGTTCTCTAAAACATGTTTCAGATATTTTGCGTGATTCTTATAAAGCAGCAACCCACAATCATTGCAGAAACATTGGTAGCTAGCAGGGGAGAAATGGTGATTTTTTTGGACTTTTGACCTTAAAGTTGGCATTAGTGATCACTGGAGTTTTGTGAAATGGTGCTTTAAGACATTGGAAGTGGGATGGATATATTTGGGAACAACACAGAATGGCTGTAGTGTTTAAAAAATTTTTATTTGATACTGACTCACTTGACCAGGAATAATCTTTACATTCTTATTGTTTAATTTGGGGTGTGTCTGTGTAAACTGTAGCCTCAGCTTCTTGTTTTGTGTAAATGTAAATGGTCATGTAAATAGCATGCAGGTGTGGTTTTTCAATCACTGTTTCAAGAGTTGACATTTTTGATGTACGGTGATTAATGTTATGATATTATTATGAGTTACGTTCCTAGCTGCTTCTTTTCCATCACCTTGAATCGGTCCCCTTTTTCTCCTGACATCAGCAGGGTAGACGTTCATGCAACCATTGGTCCCTGGATGTCTTCTCCTTTCCAGGCTTAATCTCTATAAACCAGACTGATGGCTGTAAGTAAATATCCCAGTAGCTCAGGGGTTGCTGAAATAATTTATCAGAACTTCTCCCTTAAACAGCCATGTTCAAAACCCCTATAATCTAATTTTCATCCTGGTTGTACTACTCATTAAATTTCAGCAAGTCTCACCACATCTAGTTGCTTACATGCAAACGTTAACTGCAATGATTGTTGGTTTCCTACATACAAATAGCTGAAAAAGTATATCTAATAAAACATCAGGAGTCCACAATCATTTGTAGGAAGCTGCTATCCATATTAAGACTTAACACTGACTTACATTAATTTTATTTTTTGCATACATACACTATATTGCCAAAAGTATTTGCTCACCTGCCTTGACTCACATATGAGCTTAAGTGACATCCCGTTCCTAATCCATAGGGTTCAATATGACGTCGGTCCACCCTTTGCAGCTAGAACAGCTTCAACTCTTCTGGGAAGGCTGTCCACAAGGTTTAGGAGTGTGTTTATGGGAATTTTTGACCATTCTTCCAGAAGCGCATTTGTGAGGTCGCACACTGATGTTGGACGAGAAGGCCTGGCTCTCAGTCTCCGCTCTAATTCATCCCAAAGGTGTTCTATCGGGTTGAGGTCAGGACTCTGTGCAGGCCAGTCAAGTTCATCCACACCAGACTCTGTCATCCATGTCTTTATGGACCTTGCTTTGTGCACTGGTGCACAGTCATGTTGGAAGAGGAAGGGGCCAGCTCCAAACTGTTCCCACAAAGTTGGGAGCATGGAATTGTCCAAAATGTCTTGGTATGCTGAAGCATTCAGAGTTCCTTTCACTGGAACTAAGGGGCCAAGCCCAGCTCCTGAAAAACAACCCCACACCATAATCCCCCCTCCACCAAACTTTACACTTGGCACAATGCAGTCAGACAAGTACCGTTCTCCTGGCAACCGCCAAACCCAGACCCGTCCATCAGATTGCCAGATGGAGAAGCGCGATTCGTCACTCCAGAGAACGCGTCTCCACTGCTCTAGAGTCCAGTGGCGGCGTGCTTTACACCACCGCATCCGACGCTTTGCATTGCACTTGGTGATGTATGGCTTGGATGCAGCTGCTCGACCATGGAAACCCATTCCATGAAGCTCTCTGCGCACTGTTCTTGAGCTAATCTGAAGGCCACATGAAGTTTGGAGGTCTGTAGTGATTGACTCTGCAGAAAGTTGGCGACCTCTTCGCACTATGCGCTTCAGCATCCGCTGACCCCGCTCCGTCAGTTTACGTGGCCTACCACTTCGTGGCTGAGTTGCTGTCGTTCCCAAACACTTCCATTTTCTTATAATACAGCTGACAGTTGACTGTGGAATATTTAGGAGCGAGGAAATTTCACGACTGGATTTGTTGCACAGGTGGCATCCTATCACAGTTCCACGCTGGAATTCACTGAGCTCCTGAGAGCGACCCATTCTTTCACAAATGTTTGTAAAAACAGTCTGCATGCCTAGGTGCTTGAATTTATACACCTGTGGCCATGGAAGTGATTGGAACACCTGATTCCAATAATTTGGATGGGTGAGCAAATACTTTTGGCAATATAGTGTATGTCTGACCCCAATATTTAGCCCAACTGTAACTAATGCCTCTATATTTCTAAACATAACCTTAACCTAAAGTTAATTCAAACCATACCTCTAAACTGTCTCAGGATTAGCATTTGATCCCATACAACAGGTTTTTTGAACGTTTTTAATTCCAAGGACCCCCAAACTGATGGTGAGATGGAGCAGGGATGCCCTAATTGTATATATTGTATGAAATTGTGTTATATCAGTCTGGTCCTATAGTCACTCTAATGTAACGAAAGTAATTTCGCCTTGGGATTATTAGAGTATATCTGATTCCTCGCTGATGGGACAGGTGTTGTGAATGAAACGATGCCCAGCTTGAAAGAGCTCCTGTGGTTTGCTGAAAGTGTGCATTGATCATGGGCGGTTCAAGAAAGGGGCCAGTGGGGGTCAGTACCCCTGTAGATCATGTCCTGGCCCCTGTCCTGAAGACATGATACTTAAAAAATTCTCATGATGATATGCATTGGATCAGACATGGTTACTTATAGCTACTATGGATCTATTTAATTTTTTTCCATT